GCTGCCTCTGCAGCTGTTGCCACATCCTCCGCCTCTGCCAGGAGGCAACTGGCCAAGTTCTCTCCTGGGGAGACAAATGGGGGGAACCCAGACGAAGAGGGGGGAGGCCGTGTCAGAACTGGAGGGGGCTGACATTTCCGGGCTGACACGGGCAGCAGGCAGTATAGGTGGTCCCCAGCTCTGCTGAGAGTCTGTTTTATCATCTGACAAATGGGGATAAATCTATTGGTCATCGCTCTGACTGCCTCCCACAGGCAAGGAAGGGATTTTAGTGAGGGTGGTGACTTCAAAAATGGTCCACAGGGACGTGGGACCATATTAGAATAATTAGCATCCAGAGGAACCAGAACTTCCCAGCCCCCCAGACCCCCCATGAGCTGCTCCCTGCCCTCAGGGCCCTGAGCAGAGAATATCTTTGGTGGGTATGGCTGGGGGCATGGATGCCTCTTCCGCCCCTAATGACTGGAGGACACCTCCTACCTGTAATGGGATCCTGGCAGGGCACAGAATTCCTGTGTTCTGGCTTTAACCACTTTCCATTTACGTAGTGACTCAAGCACCGGTCCTGGGTGTCCAGCCAGGCCTGGGGGAAGGGAAGAGTTTGGAAAGGGATCTGGGAAGCAGCTGGGGGATCTCAATCCCTACCCAGTGTCCTCCGGGAGGGGAACACCTGCTAATTCTTTTCCCGTGTTTCCTGTGTAGGTGGAAAATACACATAAACGTAAGAGACACAATGTAAGTTCATCATTTAAACCATTTTAAAGTGTACAATTCAGTGGCATTTAGCACACTCACAGTGTCGTGCAACCATCACCTCTAATTCCAGAACTTTTCGTCACCCCCCAAAGAGAACTGCGCAGCCATTAAGCAGCTACTCTCCCATCCTCATTGCGCCCAACCCCTGGAAACTACTCATCTGCTGTCTGTCTCTATGGATTCGCCTAGTCTGGGTTTTCCACATAAACGGAATCCTATGTGTCTTTTTATGGCTGGCTTCTTTGGCTTGCCATGGAGTTTTCTCTTCTTTTTTTTTTAAATCCTCATCTGAGGATATTTTTCCATTTATCTTCAGATAGAGAGGGAGAAAGAGAGAAACATCGATGTGAGAGAGACACATCATTGGTTGCCTCCTGCACGACCCTGACCTGGGCTGGGGACTGAACCTCAACCAAGGTCCGTGCCCTTGACCAGAACTGAACCTGTGATTCTTTGGTCCACGGGCCGACACTCTAACCACTGAACAAAATGGCCATGGCTCCTCTTCTTTTTTATTCTTGCTATGGTGTTTTCGAGGTTCACCCATGGCGTAGCCTGTACCAACACTTCATTTCTTTTTATGGCTGTATGGTATTCCTTATCTAGATGGCCCACATTTTGTTTATCCATTCATCAGTTGATTGGGATTTGGGTTGTTTCTACTTTTTGGCTATTGTGAATCGCACTGGTAAAAAATTGCAGAGGGGCAACCTAGTATGGGGGTCCCTGGAGTGAGGAGCCACACAGCCAGGGTTTGAATCCTGGCTCTGGTACTTACTCATGGTGCAGCTGTAGCCGGATCTTATAATACCATGGCCTCTGCTAAGCAAGTCAGCTGGGAGGTGGGGATGACAGTCCCTCCCTACCTCACAAAGCTGTGGTAAGGATTAAATAAATCATATGTATTAGATATTCAGAGCAGCACTACTTAAGAATCTCTTGCCCAGCCAGTGTGGCTCAGTGGTTGAGCGTTGACCCAGGCACCAAGAGGTCACTGGTTAGATTCCCAGTCAGGGCACATGCCCAGGTTGTGGGCCCGATTCCCCGTGGGGGGCAGGCAGGAGGCGGCCAATCGATGTTCTTTCTCATTGATGTTTCTATATCTCTCTCCCTCTCCCTTCCTCTCTCTCTAAAATCAATCAAGAAAAAAAAATCTCTTATTGCCCTAGCCGGTTTGGCTCAGTGGTTAGAGCGTCAGCTCAAGGGTCCAAAGAGTTGCAGGTTCAAGTTTGGCCAAGGGCACGTTCCTCAGTTGAGATCTGTCTCCGGCCCTGGTCGGGTTGTGAAGGAGGCAACCAGTGGATGTGTCCCTCTCACATCGATGTTGCTCTCTCTCTTCCTTCCTCCCACTCTATCTGAAGATAAACAAAAATACCCTCAGGTGAGGATTTAAAAATAAAGAATCTTTTATTAATTTGATTGTAGCTCACCCTCCACATTGGCTTCACGTTTCTCTGTCCCTGGTCCGGTCTTCCCCAAATCCTTGCTAAATCTAAGACTTGCTTCCCACTTTTTTCCTTCCAAAAACTCGTCTTCACATCCCTGATGCCACAGTCTTCTGATTTTTCTCTTCCCCTGCCAACTGGCCTTTCTCCTTTTTCTGTAAAGTCAAATGGTCAGCCAGAAGTTCCCAATTCAACCCCCTCTCTGGGGAGGTGGGGAAGAGACACTTTTGAAACAACTGAAAGTATCTGAACACGAGCTGCACATTAGATATTAGAGAATGACTGTTAATGAGAAGTGTGAAAACGGCAGGGTGGTTATGTTCCATAATGAGTCCTTATGTGTTAGAAACAACGAGTCAAGTTTTTATGGGAAAATAACGTGACATCCAGGATTTAAGCCCCTCCAGAAAAGGAGAACACAAAGGGATACAACGTTGGACCCAATGTCAATCGTTGTTAAGCTCAGTGATAGGTACATGAGAGTTCAGAATATTAAGTACTCGGTGGAATTTTGCAAAATTTCCCCCCAAACAAAAACAAAACTCTAAAAGAATGTCCACAGGGTCCTGGCAGACCACAAGTGTGAGAAGAGGGCCTGGTGGAGACTGAGAGCCCACGATTTGTCTAATAAGACCAACTGGCCCAAATGGATCCAGATGATTTTTGTCAGGGAATGGGAGCCAAAGGTTGCCGGATTTTGGGATTTTTATTTTCAAGAGAAGCTGGAAACCCGGATGTTTACATGGAATTATTTGTCCATTAATTCACATTTTTACAAATTAAGTTTAGGCCAAAGAAAACATGTTTGTTGGCTGAGTCTGGCCAACAGACTACAAGGTTGAGACCTTGGCTTGGGGAGAGGTGGGGGCACCACAGGCTCTGGAATCTGAGGGCTCAGGTTCAAACTTCAGCTTCCTCTTTTAAGCTGTGTTGACCATGGGCAAATTACTTACCTCTTCAAGCCTCTGTGTGCTGTCGCTAAAATAATGACAATACTCCCCTCCCAGGGTGGTTTTGGGGGATTCAATACAATTATGCTAAGCACAGAGGGTGGCATATAAAAAGCACCCAATAAATATAAGCTTTTGTCACATGGCTATTTCATGATATTTCACTTCTAACTCCCAAGTGTGGGAATTCTCTGTACATCTTCCCAGTTCCTTTTATCCTCGTCTACAGTGTTTCCATATAATCTTGTCACTCCCACGGTTCAATTATCTTTCTACATTGGTGCCTCAAAGTAGACCTGAGGTTCAAAGTAGTATTTGACTCCTGCACATGGCTCATGCCTGTCCCCAGGGCCCTCACACTTTCAATATGTAACGCTCAGCTCAGCATCTTTCCCCCAAAGCCTGCTCCTCCAGGGTTCACCATGGAGGGAAGGGGGGCGGGGCAGAAACAACCACCCAGTCACAAGGCCAGACCCCAAGTACTGTCCTGGCCCTCTCAGTTCCCCAAACCCTGTTCCTCACGCTTGGGTGCCAGATGACCCTGCGAGATGACCACAGTCCTATGGAGAATTCCGAGGGACCTAATTATAGAAAATTCAGGCACTTTCCTTATCTACAGGAACCTCCAGACAGTCCTACGAAATTCTGAACACCAAGGGTCACGGAAGCATCATCACGATTTTAAGAGGCCCTGAGGACTCATGGGGGCCCATGGGACATTCAGAGAGGTGGTGAGGGATCATGTAGGGGGCCCTTGAAGGTATTCTGAGGGGTTGTGGGTATAAGTTCTAATGTATTTGGGGTTCTTTTTTTTTTTATATCCTCACCCACTCTAGGACATTTTTCGATATTTTGTTCAGATAGAGTGGGAGGGAGAGAGAGAGAGAAGCATGGATGTGAAAGGGACACAGCGACTGGTTGCCACCCGCAGGACCCAACCAGGGCCGGGGACAAACTGCAACCGAGGTACGTGCCCTTAGCGGGAACCAAACCCGGGTCTCTCTGGACCGCAGGCCGACGCTCTAACCGCTGAGCCAAACCGGCCGGGGCTATTCTGGGGTTCTGAGAGTTCTTGAGATCGACCCGGGTTCGGTTCCCGCTAAGGGCACGTACTTCGGTTGCAGTTCGTCCCCGGCCCTGGTTGGTCGTGCGGGTGGCAGCCACTCGATGTGTCCCTTCACGTCGATGTTTCTCTCTCTCTCTCCCTCCCTCTCTACCTGCACAAAAAATGGAAAAATATCCTCGGGTGAGGATTTAAAAAAAAAAAAAAGGAGGTGAGAGTTCCCGAGATCATAGAGGAAGTCACACAAGTACAGAGGAAGCCCTGAGGAATCACGGGGACTCCACGGAAGTTCCGGGTGATTAAGGGAGCCCCACAATAATTCTGGGGGGGGTGCCCTGGAGGACCACGGGAAGCACAGGATGTACTGAGGAATCATAGGAAGTCCAGGGGGGTTCAGAGGTGCCTTGGAAGATCACGGGAGCCCCAAGGGAATTTGAGGGGGGTTCTGAGGACTCACTGGAACCCCTTGGGGTGGCGCGGGTCAGAGGAATCGGGGAAACACCGCCTGGAGTTCGGGCTGAGACGCACGAGAACCAGGGACGGCGGGAACAGACTCAAGGGCCAGGAGGCAGCAATCGCAAAGGCTCAAGGGAACGTCCTCCAGACGTGGGTCCTACGGGGTGGCGGGAATCACCGGAGCAAAGGAGGGCGGAGTCGCTGAGCTGCCGCGGTGGATCACGGGAATCCGCGCGCGAAACCGGGCGGCACGACGCGAGGAGGGGGGGGCAGCGCCGGCCGGGCAGGCCCTCACCAGTGCGCATGCGTGGCTCTCGGGCGCCGGGCCGTACTCCAGCGTGGTGAAAATCTCTCGGGCGCGGGACTCCGCGCTGGTGGCAGCCATCACCCGTCCGGACCGCTTTCCGCCGACTGCGGGGCGCTCTACCCCAGGGAACCTTGAGGTCCGAAGGGCGGGACCGCCCTCTCCAGCGCAAAGGGCGGGCTCCAGGAGATAGAGCGTAACCCAACCTTAGGACCCGGTGACCCCGCCCACGGCGAGGCGGGATGGTGGGCGCGCTGGACGTAGTTTTGAGCATGCGCAGTTCTCAAAGCGCGGGGACGGGAGAAGAGAACAGGGGGGTGCCTTGCAAATAGGAGAAGTCCAGATGGAGAAGGGTGGCCGTATGGGTGTGTCTTTCCTCCATCCGGTTGGCAAAAGTGCATCGAATCTAGCTCTGGGGCGAAGCGATAGTGCAGAGATCAGAAGGGGGTCTTCTAGGATGGACACTGAAATGAAGGTTTCGACAGTGTGCCAGCCTTGCGTGTCCCGTAACCGGGCCAGAGGTGGTGGTGGGGAAGGAGGGAAAGTGTGACTTGAGTCCACAGCGGAAGTGTGGCGTTGAGGGATCAGCTGCAGGGTGTAATTTTGATTGGTTGAGGTGAAAGGCGTGGCCTCATACGTAAACTCTGATTGGTTGGTAACGGAACGCGGCTGCTGGGGGTAATGAATGAGTCTTGGGGTGGTCAGAAGTGTGGCCTACTCCAATTTCTGGTTACAGGTAGACCGGAAGAGTGGCTGTTATTTACACATTTGGCACGTAGGACCTAGAGTATCTAGAGATATTGACGCCTAATAGATTTGACGACGGTATCGGTTCAGTGGAATTGTAGTTTCTGGCCAGATTCTTAGATTTCTATATACAAGAGTGCGTGTTGGGGTCTGTTGAGGGCCCAAGAAGCAGCCCCCCACATCGGGTTTTCTGGAGACGCCGAGGTCTCTTCCCCAGGGCCATGACGGACTTGAATCTGCTGGTGCCAGAGGTAAACGAGGCAGAGGCAATGGGCCCCGAGGCTGCGCGTTTCCAGGAGCTGCTGCTGCAGGTGCGGACTGACCGGGAGTCCTGTGTCCCTGAGGATTTGGGCGATTCTTTTTTTCAAAGATAGGATTACAGTTCTCACAATGCACTAGGGAGGCAACAGGGCCTACGGGAATGGTAGTTGGTTAACTCCAAGTTTGCTAGGCTCTGGAATAAAGGGGAGTAGGGTTGGGGTTGTTCTTTGGGTTCCTCAAAGGAGGAAGGGGACATAATATGTCTTATTCCCTGCTTGGCTCATGTCCATAAACATTGCTCAATAAACATTCGAGGAACAAATGAGGGGTATGATAGCACAGACCCCAAGTCTGGAAGTCATTTTCCTTCACACAGGCCTCCAAGGAGCTCCAGCAAGCCCAGACAAGCAGACCAGAATCAACACAGATCCAACCTCAACCTGGTGAGAAAGGCAGAAACCCAAAGACAGTGCGATAGATTTCCAGAGAGGCGGAGAGAGACTAGAGGCAGGGGACACAGAGGAGGGAGGAAAGAGACACAATGAGGGGGTTTAGAAACCTTGGTGGGGAAATGAACTGAGACTCAGAGGGAGATCCAAAGAGAGGAGGGGGTGGACAGAAGTGATTAGGGGACAGAGACTCCGAGACAGGGAGTCAGAGGTTCCAGGGGTGGGTAGGGGAACAGAACCAGAAAGTGGAGGACTGAGACTCAAAGAGGAGAACAGATCAAAAGAAAGACAGACTGAAGGGAGGATGGATGGAAATCAAGAACCATGTGGAGACAGATTCTCAGGACTAACCCATTCCCACCAGGCTTCTGCATAAAGACCAACTCATCTGAAGGGAAAGTTTTCATCAATATCTGTCACTCTCCCTCCATCCCTCCCCCGGCTGACATGACTGAGGATGAGTTGCTTCAAATGCTGGAGGAGGACCAAGCTGGGTTTCGCATCCCCATGAGTCTGGGAGAGCCTCATGCCGAACTAGATGCAAGTCAGTGCCCTCAGAGGCCCCAGGGCGCAGGCCCCCTAGGTCCTTTCTTCCCTAGGATTCCAGAATCCAGGACCCAGAACTCCCCTCTTACAGAACCTAGAAATCTGGATCCCCTGATCTGATCCTTTTCCCTGTGGCATATCCCTAGCCTTCTGGGCTTCTAGCACTGGCTGCATGGGGCAGTCCTGCTTTTGCCCACCTGGCCAAGCTGGCATTTCTCTTTGTCCCACTGCTGGGCAAGGGAGGGCTGGGCAGGTGCTTCATTGGCTGATCTTCTGGCCCTAGACTCGGGCCAGCTCTCTCATCTCTGTGTTTTCCTTCTCCTTCGCCCCTGTCTCTGTCTCTCTGCATTGTCTCACCTCTGTCTCTGTTGCATTTCTGTCTCTATATCCTTGTTTTTGTCTATTTACATATGTCCTCCAAGGCTTCCTGGGACCAAGCTTTGGGTGGTGCCCTGGGGAGTAGGGACTTACCAAACCCAGAACCTTCTCTTTCAATATTGTGTGATTCTTGCTGTACTGGAGGGGGCCTTTCACCTACACTGAGGAGTCAGGAAAGGCTTCCTGGAGGAGAAGATGTTGGATATAAGATTAGAAGGAACTGGAGGAGCTCATTAGGCCAAGATGGAGAAGAGAGTTCTGGGCACAGGGGACAGAAGGGTCCAGAGGCCAGAAAGAGTGATTGAACTGGATTGGTCAGTAACAGAGAGATGGAAGAAATTTACAGGGAGGAGGTCACTATAGAAGCGAGCTTTTTTTTCACCTAGCCGGTGTGCCTCAGTGGATTGAGCATCATCTCATGGACTGAAAGGTCCTGGTTCGATTCCTGGTTAAGGCACATGCCCGGGTTATGGGCTCAATCCCCAGTAGAGGGCGTATAGGAGACAGCTGATCAATGTTTTTCTCTCTTAAAAAAAAAAAAAAAGCTTTTTTTTCCCCCTAGGTGGGAGAGACAGACCACATATGGCCTCCAGTGCCAGCTGAACTATTCAGACCTTTGTCTGGATGTGCTGGGGAGCCACGGGAGGACTGTGAGCAGGGTCGGCTCTGGGACATAGTGGGGACGCACCAGAGAGAACGAGACTGGGGGCTGGTGTGAGTCCAGACTGGCAAGAGCGTGTCTTGAGTCCTCACTTCCTAGTTGTCTCTCCGTCTCTGATTCTTGTGGCTGCTATCATCCCTTGTTTTCTCCTTGCCTATGTTTGAGCGGTGGGGTTGCCCCGGACAGCGGGGGCCTCACCCCCTTTCTCTCCCCGTAGAAGGCCAAGGTTGCACCGCCTACGACGTAGCTGTCAACAGCAACTTCTACCTGAGGATGCAGGTTGGGGGCGTGGCTGCGGGTGAGGCCTGGGCAGGGCCCTATTCCTTTACCCCCCTCCCCCCAGCCCTCCCGAAGTCCTGCTTCCCCCACACCTCTTCTAGAACAGCGATTTCCTGCGAGAGCTGGTGATCACCATCGCCAGGGAGGGCCTGGAGGATAAATACAGCCTGCAGCTGAATCCAGGTGAGGGGCGGGGGTCTGAGCAGCTTGGGGACAGCCCGCAGGAGAGGCGGGAGAGGCGGGAGAGGCGGGGCTAGTGTGGGTTATTAGTCTCTTGGCTGCAAATTCCAGGGAGAGGGCCAGGCCCCCAAGGTAAATTGAGGGGATAAGGCAGTGTTTGGGGTGGGGAGGGGGCAGGCACGGAATTCCAGGTAAGGGCCAGGGTCTGGGCAGCGAGGGAGCAGCGGAGTCCGAAGCATCTCCGGGTCTGGTTTTATTGGGGAATACCCTAGGAAGGGCGGGGTTAAGGTGGGCGGGCTTCCTAAAGCCAAGCTTGGGGGTGTGGTCAGGTTCCAGGTTACCTCCACCCGGAAGCTCACAGGTGCGCACAGGGAACTCTGACCCATGTGACCTTTGACCCTGCCCTCCCTACCCACAGAGTGGCGTATATTGAAGAACCGGCCTTTTATGGGCTCCATCTCCCAGCAAAATATCCGCTCCCGGCAACGACCTCCCATCCAGGAGCTGGGGAACCTGTACACGGCTGACTCCTTGAGACCTGAGGCAGGGTGGGCTTTCGATGGGTTCCCTCTCTCATGTCTCCCCAGTGCTCTTTGCAATCCCTGCCCATCCAGGCGGTGTCCTGGGGCTCTGGGAACCCCCAGAGGAGAGAGGCTGAACTCCCACTAGAAAGGCCCGCGGCAGCAGGGCTGGAAGGAGCGGGGAAGGAAGGGAACGTATACCAGGCAGAGGGAACAGTGCAGCAAAGACCTGGAGGCGCTCAGCCCTGGGTCTGGTTCCTCCCCAGCCCTGAGAAGCCTCACCTGAACCTTTGGCTGGAAGCCCCTGACCTCCTCTTGGCGGAAATTGACCTCCCCAAACTGGTGAGCACACCCTTGACCTGAGCTGGTTAGTGCTGTCCTCTGAGTATGGCTGCCTCCTGTCCCACAGGGCCTTCAGGCCACTTCTGCTCCCCCAAAGATGCCCAGGGCATTATAAGTGATGAAACATGGAGAACTGCAGTTACTGTACCCTACCTTTCTCCTGGAATGTTAGACCCTTTAAATATGGTAGCCCAGCACTCTGCCTGGTCCATGTTCTTATCAGCCTGTGACCTGTTGCTGGCAAGGGAAGGGGGGGCTGATTCCACTGTATCTCCAGGATGGAGCTCTAGGGCTGTCGCTGGAGATCGGGGAGAACCACCTGGTGATGGGGGGCCCCCAGCAGCTGTACCATCTGGATGCCTACATCCCCCTGCGGATCAACTCTGATGAGAGCAAGGCGGCCTTCCATCGGAAGAGAAGGGTACCTGGGTGGGGTGGATGGTGGTGTGAGGAAGCGGAGACATTGAGGGGCCTGGGTCTGAGGGAGGAGGGGCTGGAGGCTGGACTCCTGGGTCCTGAATCCTCTCCCTTTCCTCTCCTCAGCAACTGATGGTGGCAATGCCCCTTCTGTCCATGCCTTCTTGACCTGGTGTCTGTGCTTCCAAGTGGGGAGAAGAAGGTGGTAGCTTCTCTAAAACTGAAATAAAAGATTTTTGCCTTTGTTCTGTGTCTGGCTAGGATTTCGTAGGGAGTGGGAGGGAGGAAGGACATTGGACTGTAGCCTTGGCGTCTCAAAGGGGTTACAGTTGCAGTTTAGGCCTCATTCTCTCCCTGACTCCTGGCCTCCAGTCTCTCCCTTCATCAGTCTCCCATGTGGTTCCAGAGCTGACTGTGCCCCTTCCTGTTTGCAACCTCTCCTTGGCTCCCCATTGCCCCTGGGAGAAGGCCCAAGCCCTCAGCCTGGCACTCCAGGCTCTGCGGTCTGGCCTTTTTTTTTTTTTTTAGTGCAAAGTCCTTTCCCCCCCTTTATTGATTTTAGAGAGAAAGGAAGGGAGAGGGAGAGAGAGATAGAAACATCGATAAGAGGACATCCATTGGCTGCCTCCTGCATGCCCTCCACTGGGGATTTGGCCCACAACCTGGGCATGTGCCCCAACTGGAAATCGAACCAGTGACCTCTTGGTGCATGGGTTGACTTTCAACCACACTGGCCAGGCTGGCCTTTTTAAAAAAATCCTTACCTGAGGATATGCTTATTGATTTCAGAGAGACAAGAAGAGAAGGAGAGAGGGAAACACTGATGTGAGAGAACATCGATTGGTTGCCTTCCATCTGTGCCCTGACCAGGAATTGAACCCACAACTTTTCTTAAAAATTTTTTTTTCTTTATTGATCTTAGAGAGAGAGGAAGGGAGAGGAAGAGAGAGACAGAAACATCAATGAGAGAGAAAATCAATTGGCTGCCTCCTGCATGGCCCCCACTGGGGGTGTGGCCCACAACCTGGGCATGTGCCCTGAACTGGTGACCTCTTGGTGCATGGGCTGATGCTCAACCACTGAGCCATACCAGCCAGGCTGCAACCTTTTGGTGTATGGAATGACACTCCAACCAACTGAGCCACGTCAGCCAGGTCATGGTCTGGCCTTCATACCTCGTGTGGCTCCTTCCTCCGTCTCACTGTCTATTTTTTTTTTTTTTAATCCTCATCCGAGGACATTTTTCCATTTTTTGTACAGACAGAGTGGGAGGGAGAGAGAAGAAGAGAGAGAGAGGGAAACATCGATGTGAAAGGGACACATCGAGTGGCTGCCACCCGCACGACCAACCAGGGCCGGGGACAAACTGCAACCGAGGTACATGCCCTTAGCGGGAACCGAACCCGGGTCTCCGGACCGCAGGCGGACGCTCTAACCGCTGAGCCAAACTGGCCAGGGCTCACTGTCTATTCACACTGAAGAGTGTCCTGCCCACACCACTGTTTGCACCTTCTCTTAGTTTCTGCTGTGCCCTCTACTGAGCACTTCCTCTCCAGTACACTTGGGAGCTTTCTAATTCTCTCGCCCTCACCGGAGGCATTTTCCGAGCGCTTTGGTGACCCGATCCATACCATCATCTCTAGCCTCTCCTGCCCCTCATCCTGACAAGCTGCCCATTCCTGGAACTGTGCTTCATGTCGCGGTCACACCAAACTGTTTCCTGCTTCCCAACCCTGCACGCACTGTTCCCCTGAGGTGGATCCTGCCTGCTCCCACCGTCTTGACCCGCCTCCCCATCCAGTCATCCCTTTTTTGAGCTTTCCCTGGAAAGCTTTTCAACCTTCAATTTATCTCTGATCTACGCTGGCTGAGTTAGAATCCTCCTCTGATGGCCCCCAATACCCAATATTATTCTCTTTTTTTTTTGGTTTATCCTCACTCTTTATAATTTTATTTTATATATTTTTAATCATCACCAGAGGATAGTTTTTCATTGATTTTTTTTTTTTATCCTTACCTGAGGATATTTTTGCATTTCTCTTGGGATAGAGCAGGAGGGAGAGAGAGAGGAACATCCACGTGAGAGAGACACATGGAGTGGTTACCACCCTCACGACCCCAACGGGTGCTGGGGACAAACTGCAACTGAGGTACGTGCCCTCAGCGGGAACCGAATCCCGGCCTCTCTGATCCCAGGGCCAACGCTCTAACCCCTGAAGTCAAACCGGCCAGGACCCCAGTATTATTCTTATAGCTATGTCCCCGACAGTATGACTATACCTGACACTTAGTCAGAACTGAAATATTTGTTAAATTAATGATTGCCAACACCCTCTCCTTTTTCCATAGTTCTGGGTGCATAAATGAATGGAGGAGCCTCAGTGGTAAACTGGAAGAGCAGCAAAGAGGCCAGTGTGACTGGAACGGAGTTGAATTGGGTGGGTAGAGGGGGACTAGATGATAGGAAGCGGGTGAAGTTGGGTTGAGTGTGGGCACCTAAAGAAGACAACGTGGGCGCCGTGTCCACTAGAGGGCGTAACGCACTCTCAACTACAACTCCCAGCGGCCCTCGGGGCACGTGGCCCTTCCGAAGCCAACACTGAGGTCTAGCGGCCGCTGGGGCTTGTAGTTCTCATGGAGGGACCCTCCGTGGGGCCGCAGAACTCGTTCTTTGGTCGGGAAAAGTGTGGGGCTGGGTCCTTTCTGCCTTCCTCGGTCTCCATGGTGATGGTTCCGGTGAAGGCACGGGATTTGGCAGCGGCCGGGCCCTCTTCCCACTCCCGCCCCATCACCATCTGCTCCACCTTCACACCTGGCGCGGAGCCGCGGCCACCGCCTCCGCACGGAGGCTGCAGATTCTGCCGCCACAGGGTGGCGCGTGTGGACGGCTCTGCGGGCTGCTCCTCCCTCAGACCCAGGAGCCCGGGCCCCAGCCGCCGCCTCCGACAGACACTGAAGTCCAGTCCCCAGCCCCTCCCGCCCGGGACCCGGGGGTTTTCAAACACAGGCAAACTGAGACCCAGAAGCCCGTCGAGAGGCCGCGGCGGGCCGTGGCAGCGGGACATCGGGCCGCGGCGCCCGCCCGCGACGCCGGCTGCGCCTCCCACCCTGGCCGGCCTGTGCACCTCATGAAAATTTCATCCCGAATGCATTTGCAGCCCGACGCAGAGAGGCGGTGGTGAAAGGAGCACCCCCCTGGGGCTGGGCCTGGAGGTGGACTCAGCGTCGGGGAGAGGGGCTCGTCTGCAGAGAGGAGAGGGGCAGACGGTGGGAAAGTCCTGGTTCAACCTTAGAGGGGCGGGGCTGGGTTCAGGGGCGGAGTGAGAATGTAGGGGGCGGGCCAGATCCCAGCGGGCAGGGACAGAACTCAGAGGGTGGAGTCAGAACTGAAAGAGTGGACAGATCCCGAGGTGTGGGCGAAATTATTTGGGTGGAAACTAGCGCCGGGGGGGGGGGGGCGGCGGAGACGGGGCAGTATAACAGTTGGGGATGGAACAGAGAGGGGAAGGAAATGGGGGGGGGGTCAAGGAGAGGGTATGCCCAAAGGAGAAGCAGAAGAGAAGGGGGATGGAATTCAAAAGAGGAAAGATGGAAACAAGGGAATGGTCGTCCGACGGGAAGAAACTGGATGGGGGAAGAAAGAGCGGGGACAATGGGTGAATGGAAATGGGGTTTGGAATTCAGGGGAAAGAATTCCCTGAAAGAGAGAAGAACCTTCTGAATGAGAGAGTTGGAACCGGGGATAATGTCGCGGGATGGGGGTGGAGTCCAGGGGGTGCGATGTGGACCCGAGGGCGCAGAAATGAGGAGGGATGAGACTGAGAGGATGCAACGCGGAAGGAAACTGAAGCAAGATGGACTGAAAGGGACAAACATGCGGGGATGAAATGAAGGGAACTGACATGGGGCGGGGGACAAATCTCAGATGGGGAAGAGAAAATCTGGGATAGAAGGAGCCAGGGGCAGGGATAGAATGAGGGGAAAGAACTCCGGGGAGGGACAGAATTGGGGCGATGCAACTCAGGAGTGGATTCAGAACCCAGAGGTGCGGGCTAGGGATGGAAGGGCGGGGACGGACCGGGAGGGGAGGCCTCCGCCAGAAAAGGGCGGGATTATAATGCCAGGGGCAGGGTCTAGCAGAGGTGGGCGGGGCCTCCCACCGCCCCGCCCCCGACGCTGAGTTCGGTGACAGCCCCCAGGCAGCCCGCACTCGCAGCCTCCTTCCCCCCGAGCGGAGCTGCGGGGCCGGCCGGGCCGGGGCGGACCCCGGGAACCCGGACGCGGCCGCCCGGGCCCGCGGGCGGGGGGATCGGCGGGGAGGACCGGCCGCAGGGGCAGCCACCATGGAGTTCCGAAAGGAGGAGTTTCGGAAGCTAGCGGGTCGCGCCCTCGGGAGGCTGCACCGGTGAGCGTGGTGGGGGTCCTGGGCGGGGAAGAGGGAGATGGTCCGAGGAGGACGCTCATTCCGCCCTGGGCGCAGACGGATAGATGGGCAGGCGTGGATGGGATGGCGGGGTCCACCCATCTGTCCAGTTTTCTCCCTGTGCCTCCGACGGCACCGCTCTCCCTGGTTCTATCTTGCTCATCATCTGGTTTCTTTTTCTTGGTCCCACCCCACTCCAGTCTCTACTCGTTTCCCTGGGACTGTATGTTTCCCTCTTTTTGGGTCTCTGAACCCCCGTCCCACTTCTGGGTCTCTGTTCACCTCTCTTCTCTCTGTGCCTCTCTCTCTGGGTCTCTAGTCCCCTTTATCTCTGAGTCTCCCTCTTCTCTGCGATTCTCTGGCCATTGCTCTCTCTAGATTTCTATCATCCCCTCTCTCGGGGTCTCTGTCTCCCACTCTGGACTCTGACTCTCTTCTTTCAGGTACGTCTCTGTCCTTTCTCTTTGGGTTTTTATCCCCCTACCCTGGGTCTCTCCGTCACTCAGTCTTTCTCAGTTTCTGTTACTCAGAGCGTTTAATCTGAAGCTAAAGCGGATTGGGGCCCATTGGTTCTTGTCCTTGAGGAGAGTTAAGCTGGGAGGAAGAAGCCAGGGTGTCCTGGGTCTCTGGAGGAGAAGGTACTTGCAGGCCCAAAATTAGACCTCCCAAAGGATGCAAGTGAGAGCTAAGATGGACTTCCTACAAGCCAGGGAGGTGACCCCAGTGACCTCGGTGTCCCCAGGCCAGCCTGGACACCTCCCTTCAGTCTTTCACCCCCAACTCTAGCCTTGGCTCCAAGTCAGAGAAATTACTCATCTGCG